TTGAATTGTTCTTTCGATTCATTGTTCCGGATATTTGGATTTTAACAGCATACTTGTCAATTGACTGAGGTCTTCTTGTTGTTGTTTGGGGTTACTTGTTGTGTTGATTATTCGTTGTGTCATAGTTTTAATTATATTAACTTTGATGGAGTGATGGTGACTCGATTCATAACGTAAAAGACGATCACTGGCAGTTTCTTTTCGGTACCAGGGTGTGGGTGTGGATGTGGATGTGGGTGTGAGTATGGCACAGTGGACAACTAAATGGACATTATGTGGAAAATCGAAAGTGCACTTTTGCTAGATTCAATTAGTGCTAGATATACTTCGGACTGTGGACTACTTAATGGCGTTAAAAGTTTTACTACAAAGTTCAAGTAGAGTGGAAAATGAGCTCATTGAAAATAATTAAAAATCAGCCTGCAAATAACGCTATCTATCCAACACAATTTTTTTTTACAAAATCCATTGAAGTGACAGCCAAAAACAATACATATTATAAATTTGCATAATGTTCGCTACCGATTTCTAATAAAAAAAGTGGTCAATTACTACTGAAGATTCCTTAGAAAAAAAAAATTCTTTTTTTCCACGGTGCTTTTCCGAACGGCTATATTAGTAAAATGAGCGTGCCCTCCAGCGCCCAATTAGAAACTTATTCAAACTTTGCCAGAATGTTCTCCCATATGTCCTCTATCGCCCCAGATAGCGAAAATTAGCATAAGTATTCGTGGACCCTACAGCAGGTTTTCGAAAGAACCATGGTTTTTTCAGATTTTTTCGATTTTTTTTGCTTTTAGAGACGTTCCTATTCAATACAAATATCATATTTAGAATCGGCGCACAAAACTGCATCGAATGATATATGATTTATTAGCTTCTCTAATAAAAAGTTTTTTCACAAAAAATTAGGGCGAGGGTCCCCCTCAGGGGATTTTTCATAAAAAAATTATTTTCTGGATTTCACGTTTCTTTCATCAGTGATTGTTTTCCGAAGGGTAGAAACTAGTATTTCTGTGAAAAAACTACGATTTTGACATGAAATAAGCCATGTCCACATGCCCTCTAGAAATTGCCCACTGTGTATCGGTGGATGTGACGCTTTTCTTTCCCGTCAGCCACACCCACACCCCACACCCTCCATTCATAATATAACAATGAAATGACCGTCGACGACCAAAGTGAAAATGATCATTATTGTTGCACACTCTTTGTTTAAAACATATTTATGCAATGACTTTCTTCTATGAAATCGTTCAATACAATTCAACACACCGGAGTGCAATAAACATTTATTACACTGAAATTACTATTATTTATATTTTAATGCTTAACAAGGTATGTTGCTTGTATTTTTTTTCTCAATAACAATTAATAGAGGGATAGTAAAATAATATATCAAATTAATTCATCTATTTTTTCTTCGTAAGGGTTTTTTTCTTCTATCACCACCTGCCACGTGTATTCGTAACTTGCCCAAGGAGATCTGATTATGTCTATGATGGCGGAAGCCGTGCTGTACTCGGTAAAGCCTTCTCTGCGTAGGTTCCTGTCGTTCTTTACTTACGATATACTTACGCGCATGTCAAACAACTCGGGCGTCGCCCGCTATGCGTGTACCCATTTCAGGGTTACGTGGGTTTCCCTGGTCACGCGCGCTTCCGTGAATATGAACCGAGACAAAACCTGGGAACTGAGGTGAATAGCAATGCGAATATATTTATAAAAAAATCCAAAAATCAAAACAACACAGTTATATTTTCTTTCTCACATTGTTAATTCTACGCATCGTTTCTTTAATATGAGGATGTGATGGCGGAAGAGTCTGTTCTTGAATAATCAGTGCGTTTTCTAATAATGAAAGTGCTTTCGAGCAATCGCCCATCTGCTCATACAATTGGCCAAGGTTAGCATAAGAAATAGCCAAATCGGGATGATTCAAAGGAAGAGATTTTTGGTAGATTTGATGTGATTTCTCCGAAAATTCCAGTGCTTTCGAGTAATCACCCATGTAGTTATACCCTTGGTCAATGTTGTTGTAAGATTCAGCCAAATCAGGATGATTCGGGGGTAGTGCTTCTTCCCTTATTTTAAGTGCTTTTTCGTAAAATTCCAGGGATTTCGAGTAGTCACCCATGTTGAAATATACTTGACCACAGTTGTTGTAAACAATAGCCAAATGAGGATGACTTGGAGGCAGGGAATTTGCGAAGATTTTAATTGATTGTTCGTAAAATTCAAGTGCTTTCGGGTAGGCACCCATGTCGTTATACACTTGACCGATGTTGTTGTAAGATAAAGCCACATGGGGATGATTCGGCGGTAGAATTCCTTCGTAGATTTTATGCGATTTTTCATGAAATTCAAGCGCTTTCGCGTAGTTCCCTATCTTGTTATATACTAGACCAAGGTCGTTGTAGGAAGTACCCAAATCCGGATGATTCGCAGGAAGAGCTTTTTCTCTTATTTTAAATGCTTTTTCGTAAAATTCAAGCGATTGCGGATAGTCGCCCATTTTGAAGTACACCAGACCAACGTTGTTGTACGAAGTAGCCAAATAGGGATGGTTCGCAGGCTGAGATTTTTCGTACAATTTCAGTGATTTTTCGCAAAATTCAAGTGCTTTCGAGTACTCACCCATGCAGTTATACACTTGGCCAATGTCGTTGTAAGATTGAGCCAAATCGGGATGATTCGGGGACAATGCTTCTTCTCTTAATTTAAGTGCCTTTTCGAAAAATTCAAGTGATTTCGAGTAGTCACCCATCTTGTAATACACCTGGCCGATGCTGTTGTGGGAAATAGCCAAACCGGGACGACTCAGAGGAAGGGATTTATCGTAGATTTGATGCGACTTTTCATAAAACTCAAGTGCTTGTGGATACTCACCCATGTTGAAATACACTAGACCGATGTTGCTGTAGGAAGTAGCCAAATCGGAGCAGTTAGGAGGCTGAGATTTTTCGTACATTTTCAGGGATTTTTCGTAAAATTCAAGTGCTTTCAAGTAGTCACCGATGTAGTTATACACTTGACCAATATTGTTATAAGATTGAGCCAAATCTGGATGATTCGGAGGCAATGCTTCTTCTCTTATTTTACGTGCTTTTTCGTAAAACTGAAGTGATTTCGAGTAGTCACCCATGTTGTTATACACTTGACCGATGCTGTTGTAGGAAATAGCCAAATTGGCATGACTCGGAGGAAGGAATTTCTCGTAGATTTCATGTGACTTTTCATAAAATTCCAGTGCTTTAGCGTAGTCGCCTACGTTGTCATACACTAGAGCAATGTTCTTGTATGAAGTACCCAAATCGGGATGATTCGCTGGAAGAGTTGTTTCTCTAATTTTACATGCATTTGCGTAAAATTCAAGTGCTTTTGAGGAGTCACCCATCTTGAAATAGACTCGCCCAATATTGTTGTAAGATAGGGCCAAATCTGGATGATTCGAAGGCAGAGCTTTTTCTAAGATTTCACTTGATTTTTCGTAAAATTCAAGCGCTTTTCGGTAGTCACCCGTTTGGTTATACACTGCACCAAAGTTGTTGTAAGATTGAGCCAGATCGGGGTGATTTGGAGGCAGTGCCTTTTCTCTTATTTCAAGTGCTTTCTGGAAAAATTCGAGTGCTCTCGGGTAGTCACCGATGTTGTAGTATACTAAACCAATGTTGTTGTAGCAAGTAGCCAAATTGGGATGATTCGGAAGAGCTTTTTTGTAGATTGTATGCGATTTTTCATAGAATTCACGTGCTTTTGCGTAGTCGCCTATGTTGTTATACACTAGGCCAATGTTGTTGTAGGAAGTAGCTAAATCGGGATGATTCGAAGGCAGAGCTTCCACTCTTATTTTTAATGCTTTTTCGTAAAAATGAAGCGATTTTGAAGAATCACCCATGTTGCAATAGACTTGCCCAATATTGTTGTAGGATAGGGCCAGATCTGGATGATTCGAAGGCAGAGCTTTTTCTAAGATTTCATTCGTTTTTTCATAAAATTCAAGCGCTTTCTGGTAGTCACCCGTTTGGTTATAAACTGCACCAAAGTTGTTGTAAGATTGAGCCAAATCGGGGTGATTGGGAGGCAGTGCTTTTTCTCTTATGTGAAGTGCTTTTTCGAAAAGTTCAACTGCTTTCGAGTAGTCTCCCATGTTGTCATATACTAGAGCGATGTTGTTGTAGGATAATGCGAGATCGGGATGATCCGAAGGCAGGGCTTTTTTGTAAGATTTTATTTGATTTTTCGTAAAACTCAAGCGCTTGCGAGTAGTCACCCGTTTGGTTGCATACTGCACCAATGTTGTTGTAAGATTGAGCCAAATCGGGGTGATTGGTGGGCAGCGCTTCTTCTCTTATCTGAAGTGCTTTTTCGAAAAGTTCAACTGCATTCGAGTAGTCTCCCATGTTGTTATGTAGTAAAGCAATATTGTTGTAAGAGGTAGCCAAATCGGGGTGATTTGAAGGCAGCGCTTGCTGTAAGATTTCGTTTGATTTTTCGTAAAATTCAAGCGCTTTTGAGTAGTCACCTTTGTTTTGATACACTTGACCAATGTTGTTGTAGGAAGTAGCCAGAGTGGGATGATTCAGGGGTAGAGACTTTTCGTAGATTTGTTGTGCTTTTTCGTAAATTTCAAGTGCTTTGGAGTAGTTACCCATCTGGTTATACAGTGAACTAATGTTTGTGTAGGATTGTGCGAAGTTTGGATGATTCGGAGGCAGAGAATTTTCGTAGATTTGATGTGCTTTTGTATAATGTTCAAGTGCTTTCGAGTAGTCACCCATTTGCTTATACACTGCACCAAAGTTGTTGTAGGATAGAGCCACATTGGGATGATTCGTAGGTAGAGATTTTTCGTGGATTTGATGTGCTTTTTCGTAAATTTCAAGCGCTTTGGAGTAGTCACCCATCTTGTTATGCAGTGTACCGATGTTGTTGTAGGATAGAGCCAAATCGGGATGATTTGGAGCTAGTGATTTTTCGTGGACTAGATGTGATTTTTTTTAAAATTCAAGTGCTTTCGAATAGTCACCCAGGTTGAAATACACTGCACCAATGTTGTTGTAGGATGAGGCCAAATTCGGATGGTTCGGTGGTAGAGATTTTTCGTTGATTTCATGTGCTTTTTCGTAAAATCCAAGTGCTTTCCAGTTGTCACCCATGTTCCTATACACTTCACCAATGTTGTTGTAGGAAGTAGCCAAGTTGGGGTGACTGGGATGCCGAGCTTTTTCGAGGATTTTATGCGATTCTTCGAAAATTTGCAGTGCTTTGGAGAACTGACCCATATCGCTATATGCCAGACCGAAACCGTTGTACGTAGCAGACAAGGAAGAGTGATCTTCTAGTAGTGTTTTTGGATTGGTTTCGAGTGCTTTTTGATAAAATGAAAGTGCTTCTTCGTATTGTCCTTGTTTGTATTTCACGGCTCCTAGCATATGATAAACATTTATTCTATCGCTGTCGTCTGGATCCTGCTCTAGTAGTGTCGTGTAGAATTCTTCGGTCTTGTCTAGTTGGCCTATTTTAAACAGCAATTGACCCAATCGGGACCATCCACTGCCATCGATTTCTCCTCGTATACGATCAGTTAATTGATTTAGTTGTTGGTCGTCATCTGCTGTGAGTTTGAGATCCAGTTCATAAAGTGGATTGTTCTGGTCGATTTGTCGAACTTCACCAATTCGAAAAACTGTGTGCATTGAGAAGAGTATTTCGTCTTCTTCCTGATAATAACTCACCTCTCGGATTGAAGCGAATGAAGTTGATGATTCTTTCGGATCGATGGTCATTTGAAAAAGAATACCGACCATATCTGGTGCTCCTAGAGCACTGTTGGCGAAAACGAGGGACACATCTCGATCTTTACTGGTGGATAAAAAATTATTAAACGATATTAGTCCACCTTTACTTTTACTAATCTTTTCGAAGTCTGTCGTCTGTAGCCCCTGTCCTCGATAAAGGAGGAATGTCTTACCATCACATTGATTAATTTGCTTGCTGCGTAAATCTTCTATTTGTCGATGAATATCACATAAATAAAATCCCATTCTGATAATGATATCACCATCGAGGGTGCGTAATGCTTGATTAAGCATGTTATATGTAAAATATTGACTGGTATACCACCATATCGCGAATGTTGGATGATAAGTACGCTTAAATTCATCAATAGTTTTGAGTGCTGCTTCATTACCTTGATATTGTTGCTTCCAGAAGGTGACCAAATCTTCGATATCTTGTTGATCATGTTCCATATCAAGGAGTATTTCCTTAAATATTCGAGTATACATGAAAGATGTTTCTAGTTGATTGAGATTTTCGATAGAACCATCTACATCGGCACTAATTATACTGACGATCATATTGTTTTGATTGCATTGCTTGACAGCTATTTGCAATGCTTCTGATATGGACTTGATTGAGTCGTGGACACCTTTAATTTTTGTCCAATGTTTAGCCCATTCACTATGAAGTTCCTTGTTGTGAGAATGGATATATATAGTATCAAGATTTTGCATCGAGTGAATATTTGGTATAAGAACTTGTCCAAGTTCACCAGAGGAGATAACGAAAGATGTCTCGTTCTTATTTTCATTCAGTAATTCAATGCATTCTTCTGCCGTGAGGCAAATCTTCACTTCATTGACAACACCTTGCAATTGTGAGAGTGTATGCTGAAAATGTTCATTTTCAGTGTTGATATTTGCATCAATCCATATGACTAAATAATTGTCAGCCATACGTCGCCTTCGCTGTTGACTCATTTTCGGTGTAATACTGAATAAGTTGTATGAAAAGAATTCACCTTTTGTATTTATATATTCGATGCACGTTGCTGCTTTTTCTAGATTTTTCTACGACATCTAATGTGAATATTTTGTTTTTTCGTCGATACTCAATAACAACCTATGTCTAGTATCAGTCGAAGGCATCCTTGTCAAAAAACAATTCAAAGGAAAAAAGCATCAACGTCATTTATGGTATGATTGCTTTTCCCACTTTCATTTACGTTTCATGTAAACCGTGACTTAAATTTCATTTGATTAGATATCTTGTCTCATACGCTGTATGCCTTTTTTTCGTCTTTTTCAGAAGGACGAAAAGAACACCAAGGACGTCGTCTGTGTGACTTTTTTCTCATTATGCATACAACTGACATGCTGATAGTGTGAGTTAAATACGAATAAACATCATTTTAGTTTTTATATAGACAAAAGTTAAACAACGATGTCTATTTGCTGAATATGCCGAATAGATATTACAATAACTTAAGAGCTGCTCAATAGTATTATTGGCTTTAGTCATATCATGTTTAGAATGTATACATCATCACTGGCAATATAATTAAAATAATTTTTTATTCATATTCATTCAAAAAAATATATACATACCTGGTGATTGAAAAGTAACTCCCTATTTTAAATTCTTTATTTCTCTCAAACAACAAAAGATATTGTCCTGACTTTTTCACTATTTTGAAGCATGGACTATGGCATTTTGTTCTGGAATAAACAAATCGATTGATAGTTTGGATGTCTAAGACCAAACCCGAACTTTGTCTTGAGAACATCTGGAATAAACTCCTTATCTTGAGTAGTTTATTATTCTTGTACTAAAACCAGGATGTGGGTACATGGGTTGCGGTGAACATCTTTGCATTATTCTAACCCACATCACAACTTCACATATATACTCATATGCACATCCCAGATCTATACGCACACTCACACCCACATCCTGGTTTTACTATAAGAATAATATACTGCTAAATATAATGAGTTTATTCCACATGTTGCCAAGACAAAGTTTCGGCTTTGATCTTAGCCAGTCAAACTGTCAATCGATTTGTTTCATATAGAACGAAATGCCATACTCCATGCTTTAAAATGGTGAAAAGTCAGAGCGATATCTTTTGTTGTGTGAGAGTAATAAAGAATTCGAAATGGGGAGTTACTTTTCAATCACCTTGTATATGTAATAAAACAACATTTCGTTTTCTCATTTTCTGCAACTGTTCTTCTTTCATTGATTTCGAAGATTCATAAAGAAATAATATTCAAACTATGTTTGTTCACACAATTTCAACATGTGTTATGATGGCAGTAAAAAAAGCTTCTGTTCCTATTCAAACAAGTATCATTAAAACTACGTGTATTAGAAGTGTATATTAATGAAAAACATACTACAAAAGGTGTACTGATTGATAACTAGTTTTGCTTGTATGATGTAAAACAGATTCATAAATGCTTGTATACAATCAACAAATAATGGTAAGAAACGCTGAGAAGGGTGTGAATGTGAATGTGGGTGTGGGTGAGTGTGGGTGTCGGTGTGATGGGTGTGGGGTGTGAATGTGATGGGTGTGAGTGCATGCTGGTAGTGGGTGTGGATGTGGTTTTGGGTGTTAATATGGGGGTGAGGCTCGGTATGTTTTTCTTTTCGCTTACACTCACCCACACCCACACCCTTGTTTTTCTTCTAGGTTTTTCTACAACGTCAAATGTAAATATGTTGTTTTTTCGTCGATACTCAATAACAACCTATGCCTAGTATCAATCGAAGGTGTGATTGTCAAAAAAAAAACGATTTAAAGAGAAAAAACCATCAACATCATTTATGTTATGATTACTTTTTCCCACTTTCATTTACGTTTCATGTGAACCGTGGACTTAAGATTCATTTGATTAGATATCTTGTCTCATACGTTGTATGCATTTTTTTCGATTTTTCAAAACGAGGTTGTTCTCTCTTGCCGAGAAGAACGAAAAAAACCAAGAGCATCGTCTGTGTGATTTTTTTTCTCATTATGCATACAATTGACACGTTGATAATGTGGCCGAAATAATAATAAGCATCATTTTAGTTTTCCTATAGGCAACAATTAAACAACAATATCTACTTGCCGAATATACCGAATAGATATTGCAATAATTTCTGAGCCGCTCAGTTGTAGTTATATTGGATTTAATAGTGTCACGTTCAGAATCTATAGATCATTACTCACAATCTAATTAAAGCAATTTTTTATTTATGTTCATTCTCAAAAATATATGTAATAAAACGAAATTTTGTTTTATTATTGCCTGTAAGTGCTCTTGTTTCATTAATTTCTAAGATTCAAAAAGAAATAATATTCCAATTGTATTTATTCACGTTTACCATTGACAAGTTTTTAACATATGTTACAATGGCAACAAGAAAACGTCTACCCTATGCAAACATATATCACTAGAACTATGTGTATTATAAACGTATATCAATGAAAAACATGCTACAAAAGCTGTGCTAACTGATAACTATTTTTGCTTGTATGTCTGTGAAACAAAATCATTGGTACTCGCATACGATTAACAAATAATGAAAAGAATGACTGGTACTTTTTTAACTAAAATCAATAATGATGTTAAACATATGAAAACTGTTTTTCTTAATTTAAAACTAAAAAAAACATCAGTATTGCATGGCTTTTTTGAGTTTCTTCTGAAAATACAACTGATACAGACAAGATAAATTAGCAAAAAAAGTACAAAGCAGATTTTATTATTGTTACTGTGGATTTCTTTTTTTTCGGTCATATTTGTACGGTGAGTGAAAAAATGATGATAAAATATGTAAACGAAGGATAATTAAACAACCATAATATTACATTTTTTTACTTTCTTTTTATGTGATTACATCTTATGAAGATTTTTTTTGTTTCAATTATTTTACATTCATTCCATTTATCTATTCTGGTCATTGATTCATATGCAGTTAATGTCACGAAAATCTATCTATAGATTATATATGATTAGCATCATATTGAAAGGACCATTACAATCGAACGAATATTCAAGAATCAGTTCTTTAGAGCTTACATTTATTTTGCCGAGCAAGAACATTTACAAATTTTTTATAAAATAAACAAAGTTTTTTTCAAAAGCTTTCTAAGTTTTAAAATTGTTTATATTGAAAAATTAAAGAGAATGTTAATGTAGAATAGATTGCTAAGAAATGGAACAAAGTTATTTCAGAAACTTGAACTGGCAAAAGAAAAATTGTAAACCTCTAGCAGCTACATTATGGTTTGCGACTATATGGATTATGATAAGGTTAGCAAGCTTGCATCCCTAGCTAAACATCATCAGCAGATTTTATATTTCAATCGGCGTATGCATCTATCGTATAAAGTTGAAAATTATTCAGAGATCAATAAAAGAAAAATGTAATGAAATCGCAAGCGATACTAGATATAGATATAAAGTATCTCTGTATGAAATATATCATCGTTTCTAAATCAGCAACTCTAAATAGTAGAACATCTTAATGAATTACCATCTAGATATTGGTAAAACATTCTATACTTAAAAATATTGTGAAAATGTCAGAAAGCATCATTCTTGAATGAAGAATAGGTGTTCTTCTAGCTAGATCTTATTTCTAGTAGAAGAACTTTTAAATCTTTGGGAATGAATCTATAAAAGAAAACTAGTGCTATGATAATTTTTTTAAATTAAATTCTTCTCATCACGACTAATCGGAATTGTTTGATTTCAACCTACAACTCGTTTGTTTGAAACAAAGTCATAGGAATTTTTATCTAGATACTCTATATACGTCTGTCTTGAGGGTGTGGGTGTGGGTGTGGATGTGGGTGGGTGTGGGTGTGGGTGTGGGTGTGGGTGGGTGGGGGGGGGGTGGGGGGTGGGGGGGTGGGGGTGGGTGGGGGTGGGGGG